CAATTCATCTGCGAAAAGTGACCACTAACCAATGCTTCACGCAAGCAGCCTTTCATGTAACTGGTGACACACGTGTATTGATATACATTATCCTCTAAATTTGTGCTTATCTTTCGACTTAAGTGTATGCGAGGATTAACGGAACTATATCAAAATCTGATTATATCTCCCAATCTGGCAATACTAAACAATAAAAAAACTTTTTGATACATCCCATGGATATACAATGCTCTTATATATTTGTTATTTATGAAGAAGTCAACTCTTAGTAACATCATCATCCCTATATATATATATATATATATATATATATATATATATATATATATATATATAGAGAGAGAGAGAGAGAGAGAGAGTCCCAAATTAATGTGTACACTCTTTGAACCGTTATAACCTATTCAATTTATGTATTTTTACTTGTAAATAAGATTAATACAAGAGAAAGAATACACACTTAAAGAATTTGAGAGTAAAATATACAAAAAAACAAAAAACAAAACAAAAAACCAAAAAAAAAACAGAAAATTAACTTTAATAAGATAAAAGCTACTTGGGGCAATGGCAGAATGTTCATATAATGATGAATTCACATCAAGTGGTCAAAATGGTTGCCGTTCTGTTCAATACACTTTTGATATCTTGAAGAAATAGACCTAAAATGGCCAGTATCATTGGTATTTGAGCACATTCTTCTTCAATTGCTACTCTTATTTCAGCAATTGTTTCAGATTTCCTGCTGTAAACTTTATCTTTTACAAACCTATACAAAAAAGAAATCCAAGGGTGTCAAATTTGATGATCTAGGTGGATATTCAACGGTTCCTCTTATTCCAATCCATCTATTTTGCATATTTACATCCATATAAAAATGTATTATTAACTATTAATATTAAAGAGTGTATACATTATTTTGGGACACCATATATATATATATATATATATATATATATATATATATATATATATATATATATATATATATATATATATTGTCTGTGTTTTTGTTCCTGTCTCAGGCGTACGCGCTCGTGTCCCTACCTAAAAATAGACCTTGTGTCACATCTCGTTCTAGTGGGGGTACAGAGTAGATATTGTGTGTAAAATACACTTTTTGAGTAATTTCACGTTTACTTATCATCTTTCAGCTGCGTCTCTGTCCTTAGACAGAGTGCGCTTAGGGGCTTCTCTGTCAAAAGACAGAGGAGCAACTGAGGAAAATAATACTGAAGAGGTGCCCAGCTCTGGGGAACAGCTGGCCGAAACCGTGCCCTCCCATTGCGGGCTCTGAGGGGAATTTTTGTTCCTGTCCCGGGCGTACGCGCTCGAGTCCTGACCTAAAAACAGACATTGTGTCATATCTCGTCCTAGTGGTCGTGGTAGTGTGAGGCAACGGCAAAGAAAATATTTTGGAACAAAGTTGACAAATCCCGATTTTTAGCCTCGTATAATCTGGCAACCCCGAAACTGGTGACAGCCTGTCAAGATTTTCTAGCCATCGCTCGCCGACAACACATTGACGCCATTATATCCGAAGCAATAAAGAACCAAGCTATTATTCAAATTGAAAAATTTCAAAGCAACGAAAAACATCGTGTATACGAGACGCAGAAGCGAAAATCGATCGCAGCTTGTGACGTCACACATGACCACGCGAGAGTGAAAACAAGAAGTATACGAGTTTGTCATTGCTTTGAAATTTTTCATGCAACAAAAACAGACTATAATTATTTTTTCGTCCGTGTATTGTTTGATATATTGAAATGTAATTGTCATCTTTAATAATAGCTTATGTAAGCCTAAAGCGTAGATTGGATTTAAACATGTATCAATATGGTGATTTCTTTTCGTCCTTCAATGATAATGTTATTTAAGCTTATCAGACAATATGAAAGGAACTTACTTAAAATAAATAGACAAAACTTGTCTATATTATTTAATGAAACATGCATCAATATATATATATATATATATATATATATATATATATATTCACTTAAAAAAGACCATAGATAATGACTAACAGGTTAATAGAAATCGCTTGGATTCATAGATCCTTTTGAAAATGTTTTCTTATGCATTTATATATGTGCAGAAAAATACTTGTAAAATCTAAGAAATATTTAAGGATTGCTGCCCAAATACTCAATTATATATATATATATATATATATATATAAATATATATTTCTTGTTATATTATAGAATGTGGCTGTGGCAACGGCGTCCAAAGAATTATATGCGGTTTACAAATATCCTTTAATGCAAATCTGAAAATAAGATTCCTTTCCTAAAAAGACAAGAACCTTTTGGTCAATAGATTTTCGATTTCCTTAGATAAAATCTTTTTGGACAGCAAAACCAAATTTATCTTCCGTTTGTAGAAGGTACTGCGAATATAAATAACACTTCTTATCTCAATGTTGCGTAGAACAACGCACAAATGCATGCAAATACATTAGATATTGAATATTTTTAGTTTTTACTCATGTCGAAATAAT